ACAAGCAGAACATCACTCTGATTGTTGATTTTATTAGTACAGGTTATACATGCGATGATGTAATACTGCAACAAAGTCTAGATCGTGGACTTCATACTCCATCGACCAATTTTAAGTGTTCGAATGCAACTGGAATATTGACTATTTTCAAATTATTGCCAGAACATGTTATCGATTTACAATTGACTCTAAGCGGACCACATTTTGTCGGCGGACTTCGTCTCTGTTTTTTAGCACCTTCAATTACAAATGTTGATGCTCATTCAAAGGTTCAACAAATGGATACTTGTCAATTCTTTTTTACTCCAAATCGAACATTAACAAAGAATCCGACAGTAAATGTGAAAATGACCAAAGTAATCAATCAAACTGCTGGCTTGACAATACATAATCATACAACATACACAGGTCTTTGGCTACCTTCTTTTATGACCGCTACTCTCACGGATGAACTACTCTTCTCGCTAGATGGTGAATATCTTCGTTATCTATTCAATCAAACCACTCTGGTTGTAATGATAACTGAATCTGAATTCTATATGAAGAATACGCAAGAACCTATTGCTCGTCAATATGAAATCATGTTTAACACGATTCTATTTGCAAGTAAGGCTTTAGTAGTAATGACTTGTCATAATGATTGAGTGTCGTCTGAACAAAATACCACATCTGAACAATAGAGAAACAAAACCTAGTAGAAACACAATCATTAGAAAATCAATGGAACTAGACAAATCTCAAAAAGTCGATGTTTATTGAGATGAGCAAGTGTAATATCAAGAAAAAGTTTTGTCTTGAGCAAAGTGAAAAAATGAATCTATCATGAAGAAGTTCTACGGCGACAAGTATAAAATGCGTATGTATGTGTATATATTCATTTTAGTGTTATGCCTCGACTTATTTGGACTTACATTTTTGATTTTAAAACTGACTATCATTCCTATCATTCGGTTCATGCGAAGACGTTTCTCTAACAAAGTGAGAAACAGACGATTGTCAAAAAGAGGCCGAAAGAAATGTATAGTAGCGTCAGATCTAGTTGATACTACACAGTGCATCTCAATACAGCCACTGGTCGAAACAATTGAACATCCTCTGAGAAAGAGCAACACAACAATTTGTACAGATCACGAAAGATCATCTGGACAGTCGAAATACTGATATCAAATTCTTCGTTCTTATTACGTTTTGTTGTTTTTTTAGAAAGACAAAAGAAAGAAGAACTGAATATAGATTAATTAGCTCCGACATTAGATCTCATAAACGAGATGAATAATTTATTTCTTAATTATTCCATAAATGCATACTTTAAACTATCTATGAATTCTGTTGTCACTCGTCAACGAATAGTTAGCAAAGAGAACTCAAAAGTCGATCTGTGACCTTCTTGAACAAATTAAATGTTAATAGAATACATGTTTTATTTAAAGAAATGTAAAACTATACGAACAACCATGAATAATAACTGAATTTAACAGTAGCCGCAGAAGTAAGTAGTAGTGTAATAGATACTTGGATGCTTTATTTCTTAACGTTTTTTTCTTTTCTTTTTTGGTAGAGACGACGCGTTGTACTCCAGAATATGAGCTACTATAATGTTATTATCTCCATTTCAGAATGAAAGTAATGATTTTTGTAGTTGTAACGTATGAAATTTAGACAATGTCCAGAAATTCGGCTAATATACGATATGATTTGGGATTTATGTTTTTGGTCATTCGAAGATTCAACAATCTTTGATATTGCAAAATCAAAAAAAAAATTGCAGGGATCTATTGTTAATATCATCATCTTCATTCTCAATGTTGTCAATATGATAAACAAGTTTGATATGAGAAATAAATGAGAAAATTAACGCAAAAATTTTTTTAAAGATAGCAAATCGAAGAAGATCAATAACTATTTCACTATCTATTGGATTGACAACTTTTGATAGTGACACTTAGTAACAGCTGTTCCCAAATGAATCATACTTTCTTAAGATCGAACTAGAATTGTTTATATCTAAAACTACCATTCATGATTTTCTTAGCAAAAATAAGAAAAAAAAATTTGTCTTATTAAAGCTTGCTTATCTGTTTGAGTTAAATCTTGAGTTAGTATAAGTATATATTCTCTAGCAATGAAATCTGCTGTTTTCTTTGTTAATTGTGGTTACCCATACTTTAGCAAAATGAATATTATTTTTTTCATAAGTCTCAAATTAATAAATTTCGTTCTACAAAGAAGATTTTTTCATCAAAATAGATTTTAAAAAGTTTTCATGTAATATAATCTTGTTCCGTATTGCCGTTATCAAGCATAACAGAAATAAGATCGAAAAGTGATAAGGGTGTGGGAATTCTTTTTTACGCAGCCATGCACTCGCACCCTCATAATACTGGTTCATATTGTTTACAAGTAACCAATGAATATAATACAATAACAACACATTTTGATATTCTCATAAATATCCATATAGTGGTAGAAATGAATTCTTATCATTGACAATTGAAACAACTTGAATAAATTTTGCAAAAGTGACAAAGTTTTGTTATAGAAAAATAAAGATGTTAATCAACAAATATAGCCACAATTAGAATATATGCCTGCTCGTAGAACTATAGTTGATATTTGACAATAAAAAAAAAAAACAATGCGACATCGATATTTTGTATTATGTTAAACAGTATTATTTATCTTTCCGAGTTAATTGATAGTGAACTGTATCATTTTTTGTTAATGATATGGATATATATTTATAGTTGTAAATTAGAATGGAAAATACAAAAATAGACTGATGGTGAAATTTACAATTTCAAACAAGTTGAATCAATGTGAATAAAAGGAAGATCTACAATCACATTCTAGTCATGACATTTTCTTTTCTCTACGTCCTTTTTCATATGTTCATTCAAAACGCTGAAATCTATCACACAAGTAAAACTTGAATGCTGAATTCAATTACTTAAAATTTTTCTGAAAAGTTGCCTGCACAACAAATCTTTTGTATCTGCTTCACAGCATGGGAACGCTTAGCGCCTTCAGAAGAACGCGACATATACATGTCTCTATGTACCAAGTAAAGCTAGTCTTTTTTTTAATGCTTTGATAATACTGAAGAAGAACGTAAATCTCAATGGACCAGAACAGTACGAATATTTTTTGCCGTTTTCGATACACCAGATGAATTCGTTAAAGTACTCATTATGATAAGATTCTTCAACATAGAGAGTCACTTCATTCTACCTTTACTGGTTATTCTTATGTTCATCTTTCTGTTGTACGAGATTATGTTCTTTCTGAGATAGATATAATTGGAAACATTGAAATAATCTAAGTAAAATCAACATCGAGAGCGATAGTAATACTATTCTATTTGATGACAATTATATATATATATATGAACCTAATCAAAAAAGCAGCTTAGAGATAATGAAGAAAATGCTGTTATAGAATGGTTCTAATAGCTTTTTATTATCACAGTATATGAAGTTCTTTGATAACTTCATTCTTGAGGCTATATTCATTATGTTAATACAATACGATAGCAGTTTCAGCTATATTTCTTCTATTTAGTAAGTGTAAGAGATTTTTATTTGTTATATGACATTATTTGATTGTGTAAATAATTGCTTCATTCAGTAAGTTATTGATAAAGAAAAGATTTTTAAACATTTATTTTTGAATTTCTAGGTTAGAAAGACACAGTAAATAAGAAACAACAACAACAAAAAAAATTCAATACAAGTTGATATGATTCAATTCTTGAATAAACGAAAAGTTAAACTTGTTGAAGGACTATAGTTTCTTTGACATCAATAAGGTTGGCCAATTTAAAAGTAAAATGTACAATAATAGTCTACAAAGTAAAAGAAGTGTAGCATTAATAGAAATGAACGAGATAAACTATTTACTGTGAGAATAAAAACAGCAAGCATAATAATAGTAATGATGAAAACACCTATTGATGGACCCGTCATAAGAACTTTATCTGAACCATGATCGCTTATGCTTCTGGAGTTTAATGCTGTAATACCAGCAAAGAGGAGAATCCACATTAAAATGCCAAGACCGATAAGTCCAATTATGCCCAGCCCAACAAACTGAAGGATAGAAAATGAAAAGATTAGTTTTAATACGAACATTTTATTGAAAGAATAATAATCCAGCATGTTATTTTACTTGTTTTCAGGTATTCTCAAATACAAACGCATATATATATATAAGACTTTGACACTATTAAAACTGTCAAAAATCGATTTATATAGATTTTTTAACTATGATTCTACCATGTCGAACTTGAATAGTTTTTGCGATGTCTTCGTGCTAGAGAAATAGCAAAAGTTATTTTCATAGAAATTTTTTTGTCGAGCATAATTTTAATTTGACTTTGCATTATAATATAATTGCATATAAATAATTTTTATTTCAAAATTATTTTAGAGAGCAAAAATAGAGATTAATGGAGATATGTCATCAGAAAAATTTATTAATCAGCTGAATTTTGAATAGCGTTGTAAATCTCTGAATAATCACTATCATCTTAATGTAAAACATTTGAAGTACGTACATCAGTCTGTGCTCTCATTCAATTTTAGAAGAATATCGATCTATTAATGGAAAACATCAAATAGTCTCAATAAAATATAATTATAATTAAAATTAA